AAATTTGCGAGCGCAAAAACCTAATATATTTACAGCGAGCGCAAAAGTATAACAAGCCTACTAGCATGCAAACTCCGTATAAGTAGGCCTGTTATGCTTTTGCGCTCGCTGTAAATATATTAGGTTTTTGCGCTCGCAAATTTGCTGTTCGCCTTTTGACTAAAAAATTTCTGTGTTTGTGTCCTGCGCACAGGTTTTGTAGGAAAGGTTTTTCTTCTCAGGCTGTCAATTGAAGATTTGAAGAAAAGAAAAAAGATTATTGTTGGACTGTGTTTGAGAATGACGAAACAAAAAGAGAATGCACATTTATTAGGAGCTCAGTTTACAATTACTGTTTACAATTTGGTAAAGGAACAATTAAACAATTCGTGATAAGTAGAGTTTTGTGTGTGTGTTTTGAAATGCGTGCGCGATTCCCTTTTTTATACTATAAAAATGCTTCTTAATCTTAATATTTAATGATTGTTAGATGATTCAATGAATTGTTCCGTTTTTGGTTCCGTTTGATTTTTTCGTTTTCGTTTGGAATTCATTCCGTTCGATTCCATTTGCATCGACTGCATTGGGATCCATTAGTGTTTTCAAAGAAAAAAACAAACAAACTACATGGACGAGAAGAAAAAAAATCAATAAAAAATAAAACGTTTTAGATATTTAACACAAGAAGACAACAAACAAACAAAAAAAAATGCTGCAAATGATGCCAAATTAGACCACAAAACATAATCTCTGTCTGAATATATAGTATGCTTTGTCGCCAAATTTATTGAAGCAATCGTTTTTTTAAATCGTTGATCTAGTGTTAATCGCTTTTTCCGTCAACACACACCATACACACATCAACCATATTCATCGTAATTTGGTCAAGCAAACGTTTGTGCAACACTTGTGTTTTAAAAAAAGAAGATGAAAATGTGACAAAAATAATTGTTAAAATACGCATTATTTTAATAAGTAGCCGTAAATTGCATATCATTCATTTTTTCTATTCTCTCATAATCTCTTTCTCTTTCTATTTTCTCGTACTATCTCTCTCTCTCTCTCTCTCTCGTAGTGACCAAAAATAACAATGTTAACAATCTACACAACGAACTAAACAAAAGAAAATCACATAAAATAGTAACGCATACCGCACATTTTACTCCCCCCCCGCTCAGAAAAAAAAACAAAGACTTTGATGTGTGTGTGTGTGTTTTTTGTCTTACTGTACTTGTACAATCTTGTTAGTCTACGCGCCAAATCACACCACGTATTTTTAGACTCTTTGTAATGTTAGATGTGTGCAATTCAATTCAATGTGTGTTTTTTGGCTTGCTTCATATATTCTTTGCACTCGTAATTCAATATTTTTCTCTATTTCACCGAAGAAGAAGAAGAATAAATTCGCATATATAGTTACCCGACAGTTATCAAATAACCGATTGACAAAAGCGTGTGTCGATGTCTGTCTGTCTGCAAACGAAAAATGTGTTTCGTGTTGACTTTTCCCCGTTCAAAATCCATTTTCTACGGAATTTAGTTGGTCACTGAACAGAAAAAAAACACCCAGAAGTGTCAAGTATTTTTTCGCTTTGAGTTTATGTGTGGAAATTATTGCTCAACCAGAACAAATAACATTTTGCGGCACATTTACTTTCAACCGAAATATTCCGAATTCCGACACCAAAATCGGAAAATACGAAACAATGGAATCGGAAAATACGTCGGTTTTGCTCAGAATTCATGCAGATCATGTGCACACACGTCTTTTCATTACTGATGGAAACACAATGGAATAAAAAAATCAATCGCAATATTTCTAATAACAAAAAAAACACTAACTTAAACTGTGATACATTGTCTACTGATTTGTTTATTCGTTTCGGTTTTCATTTCGGTTTCGAATCCAGAATTAAGAAAAATCCCTTTTGCGTGATGCTTAAAAGAAACTCTATTTGCCTTATGTTTCTCTTTATCTTTTTTCATTTGTTTTTTTTTTCCTCTGTGGCTTAACACTCGATTTAGTTGTAATTATTTTTTTATATACATAGATTTTGTGGTGAATTTTTTTTTTCATTGGAACATTGTTTTTTTTTTTCAAATTTAGTTTTTGATTGTTATGCGAAAGAAAATGAATTCATGGTCCAAAAAAAAGATGAAGAAAAAAAAACAAAATCTGGTGCCATTTTATTCAAATGAAAATCAAATAGCCAAGATCAAAGAACAAATCCAGACAAAGCAAAGACATTTTTTTATCTTTTTTTTTTAAATTCATTTTTGCATTGTTGAAAAAAAAAACAAAAAAAAAACCAATATATTACATCGAAAAACTTTCGACTGAAATTTTTAAGTACACCTAGATTACCTGTACATTTTTAAGTGCAACAAATAACATCCATTTATATATATTTCGATTGTATTTTGTTTTATTATCGTTAGTTCAGTTTTATTTTTGCTAATTATTTTTAAATATCCAAAAATGCATTTTGCTCTTATATGTTTCATCTCGATTCCACATACGGTATTTTTAATCTGCAACTTATGTTGAATTTGGTTGATGTTATGGGTGAATTGCTTTGGGCGGTCACTAAAGGGAAATGAGTAAATTCATTAATTTGTTTCTTTGTTTGCATCATCATTACCAAACAACAAAAACAAAAAACAAAACACATATAGAAAACAAACAAAATAACGTTAACCATTTTACACGCAATTTTATCGATAAATGTATTGTACTTGTATTTGGAACTATTTTTTAGAGAGTTGATAAAATATTGTAAGCGCATTTGCAACACACACAACAACAAAAATAATAATAATTCATACGGTTCGTACGATTTTATTTTTCTTTCTCCTTGTGTATCGTTTCTAAATTCTTGCTCTGTTTTGCTGTTTGCTATCGCTTTAATCTCTCTATCAACACACTATAGCTGTTTAGATGGGCTTTTATTCTTAACGCCCCCCACACCATCCCAAACAAACAAATGAATTTAACTCTTTGCTCTGTGTATGATAAAATATATAAAAATAGTCGATGGGTTGTAGATGTTTTTTCATTTGGTTTTCACATTCAAAACTAATGCTTTCCAATTCGAAGTAGAAGAGTTTTTGTGTATTTAATTTGCTAGTTGTTTTCTGTTCTCATGTAAGAATTAACACACAAACGGCGTCAATGCAAACCG